GTTTAGGGTTTAGGGTTTAGGATTTAGGGTTTAGGGCTAGGGGGGCGGGGGAGGGTGGGGGGGGGGTGGGGGGGTACCCCGCTTTACAACCAGAACCCCCACTTTACAACCAGAACCCCCGCTTTGCAACCCGTGAGCCTTTCCAGAACGCCGACTTTGGCAACCGAATGGGCAAGCTGCTTGACAAGCCTTTATGCTTAAAGCGTCAAGACCTGAAACTCCCACCACCCTTTAGAGCAACCATGCACTTCTGAAAGTGATGATGGTTGCAATGCGGGCGTTCTTAGCGCAAGCAGAAGCTCGAGGAGAGCTAGTCTCTGTTTATTCTGATTTTAAAGGCTGCGGATTCTGATCTTGAGAATGGTGTGCGCGGTTGTAAGGTGGGGGTTCTGGTTGTAACAGTGGGGGTTCTGGTTGTAAAGGGGGTTAATCACGGAGGGGGAGGGGGCAGGGGGGATGGTTTGGGGTCTGGGGCTTAGGGTTTGGGGTTTAATGCTTAGGGTTTGGGGTTCAGGGTTTGGGTTTGGCTTTGGGGTTTGGGGTTTAATGCTTGGGGTTTGGGGTTTAGTCTCGAGGGGTTGGGGGTTTGCTTTAGGTGGTCTCGGGCCTTGGTGTAGGGTTTAGGGTTTATGCAGGGTTTAGGGTTTAGGGTTTAGGGTTTAGGGTTTAGGGTTTAGGGTTTAGGGTTTAGGGTTTGGGGTTTGGAGGTTTGGAGGTTTAGAATTAGGCGCCGAGCCGGGGCCTTCTGAAAGCATAGCTACAAAATGAGGAGCTGAGTATGGCGACAATATCTTGATATTTTGGGATGTTCACCCGTATACGAGCATATTGTAGTACACGGAACACCCCAATTGATAGTCTTGTTAGTCTTTAGGATCCCGGCGGCGGATTAGCTTTGTGTAGCGGTTCTTGGGGCCATTCGGGATTTTTAGTTGGGCTCTTGGGGGCTCAGGGGGGTTTAGGATGTAGAGGGGATGAGGGCTTTGGTGCTTATGGGGTTGCTGAGATCACTAGGGTTCTAGACTCTCCTGAGGTTTAGGGTTGGGGGCTTAGGGATCTTGAACTACTGAATCCTTGAGCGCTGAAACCTGCAACTTAAGCAGCATCTCTCACAGTGCTTGAAGCCAACCGCACTGAAGTTCCCAAGAAATGGTTGCCCCAAAAGAAATAAAGCCAAAACAAAGACCTGAACGAAAAACAACGGAAGAAAGCTGACTCCAAACCCTGAACCCCAAGGCCTAAACTTACTAGCTCTAAATAGGGAACTCGGGAATGAGAATCCACGTAAACCTTGAAAGGGGTGTATAGGGAGATTTGAAGGCCAAATCCCTTGCTTACCCTCTACAACCCTTTAAAGGATCCTGTGTGCCCCATATGGCCTACTAAGAACCTCTATATAAGTGAATAAGGGACTATAAAGGGACCTTCAGTCCCCCATTCCTTTTTAAGAACCAAGCAAGCAAGACTTCCCGAAACGCCGGTCCTGGGCAGGGGCCATGAGAGGCGTGTGGAAGGCTCCACTCGTCTTGATCGGACGGGCCTCCAGAGCACGGAGGGTTCAGAGGGTTTGAACCCCCCTGCACCCCAAACCCAAAAAACCCTAAGCCCTAAACGCTAAGCCCTAAACCCTAAACCCTAAATCCTAAACCCTAGCCCTAAACCCGAAACCCTAAAACCCTACCCCCAAACCCTATACCCTACTGTGGGCCTGCAATGCCCGGGCAGCCGTGGCCCGCTTGCAGAGGTCGTCGACGGCACTCTTCGTGCCGGCCTTGATTTAGGGTTTTAGGGTTAGGGTTTAGGGTTTGAGGGTTTGAGGGTTTGAGGGTTTGAGGGTTTGAGGTTTGAGGGTTTGAGGGTTTGAGGGTTTGAGGGTTTGAGGTTTGAGGGTTTGAGGGTTTGAGGGTTTGAGGGTTTGAGGTTTGAGGGTTTGAGGGTTTGAGGGTTTGAGGGTTTGAGGGTTTGAGGGTTTGAGGGTTTGAGGGTTTGAGGGTTTGAGGGTTGATAGGGTTTGGGGGTTTGAGGGTTTGAGGGTTTGAGGGTTGATAGGGTTTGGGGGTTGTTGCTTTTGCTCGTTGGGGGGTTGAGGGTTGAGGTCTATTCTGAACTTGAGCCCTAGGTTTCAAACATCCCTTTTAACTTTTTTGAGATAGAGATTCCGCAAGGGGGCGCGCGAGAGACTTGGGAGGCTGTAGGGCTCAGGGGTAAATAGAGGAGATCCTGGCTCTAGGGAGCTTAGGGCTGGGGGGGGGGGGGGGGGGGAATTGTGCGTGTGGCCCCTCTTTTGCGTATAAAATCGGGGGTCCACCGGAACAGCTTTCTGGGCTCCCAGCGCAGGTGAAGCCGGACGGAAAGAGGAAGTTGGCGACCTTTTGCCGGAACGGTGTGGGTTTGTTGGGCGAAGTCCTGAATCCTAGGCCCGCGCCTTGATCTGCAAACCCCAAAGGCCCTAAACCCGTGAGGGCTTAAGCCGGGAACTCCAAAACACAGAATCCCAACCCTGAGCTCTAAGCCATAGGCTCCCAACAACAAAACAACCCTTAACCCGAAAACCTCAAACGCTAAGCCACACAACCCGACTACCCCAAGCCTCAAAACCCATGACTGCCCTGAGCCCCGAAACCCCTTCAACAATTAACCCTAAACCGCTGCAAGCCGCGGCACTTTGCATTCGGCTCCGGGGGTGGTGTCTGCGGCCTTGGCCTCTTGGCAGAGTTGGTCCACCTGATGCAGGCTTCGTGTGGCGTCGGGGGGGGGGGGGGGAACGCTGAGCCCTGGAATTTAAGAGCCCTGAACCCTAAATCCTCAGTCCTAAATCCTAACCGCTAGACCCTAAATTCTAAACTCTAAATCCTAAACCCTAAACCCTAGATCCTAAACCCGAACCCCTAAGCCGCTTGTGAGGGTTTAACGAGGGCTGCCAAGGGCTGCACAAAGGGGTTCTGGGACCCGAGTTCGTGGAATTCAAAGGTTTAGTGATACATTCTAGGAGATAACAATAAGGGTGTGGAGTAGATCAAGGTTTAGGGTTTAGGGTTCAGGGTCTAGGCTTTCGGGAAGTTTATGGGTCCTGGGATTCGGGGTTTAGGATTGGCCATACAGTCTGAAGGTTTTTGGGTTCAAGCGTCGGCCCTGATGCCTTGAAACCTGAAACCCAATACCCATCCATATGGCTCACAGAGAATCCGAAAACCCGACCACCCTCACCCTTCTATCTAGGTGGCTTTGGTGGAGAGAAAAAGCTGGGTTTAGGGGTCCCTAAACCCAAAACCCTGAACCCGAAACCCTAAGCTAGTTTGCGAGGGTCAGGGGTCAAGGCCTCCGAGTCACGTTCCCAAGGTTTAGGGGAAGGCTCAGCCCTAAACCCCAAAACCTGTCCCAAATCTTTGAACCGTACACCACTACCTGGCACTAAACACTAAGCCACTCCGAGCTCCTAACACGAAACCCCCTCAACCTAAAACTCAAAGCACCAAACCCCTCCTGAACTTCTGGCCCCTCAACCCGAATCACCCTGAACCCTGAACCCTGAATCCTAAACCCTGAACCCCTAAACCCTAAACCCTAAACCCTAAACCCTAAACCCTAAACCCTAAACCCTAAACCCTAAACCCTAAACCCTAAACCCTAACCCTAAACCCTAAACCCTAAACCCAAAACCCTAAACCGCATGTGTATACAAAGTTATATCGGCCTTGGCTCGATCAAGGCCTGCAACCTTGTGCACGGCATTTTCGAGCTACTGGGACTTTGGGCTCGATGGGTGTAATCCCTTCCCCCTAATACTATAATATAACCTTTTTTTTTTGGGGGGGGGGGGTTTTAGTATGAGGGGGTCGGGGGGGTTTAATATGAGGGGGAAGGGATTCGGATGTAGGTAAGGCTTCGTTTGAGGGGTTTGGGGAGCATTCGCTGGCTTCCCGGCGCAAACGTCACAGGTGGACTTGGCTTGCACCTAAACGTCCAACCCTCCCGTGGCGTCAAGTCTCAAGCCTCAACTGGTCAAAGGCTTCGGGCTTAGGGCTCAAATCACCACCAGTCTGCATCTGAAGATGCCAAGTTTGAAACCGCTTACGACGGTAAGGCCCTTGAAGAATCATGCCTGTTAAAGCTGGAGGGTCGAGGGAAGTAAGGGTTTAAGGGTTTAAGGTTTTTAGGGTTTTTGGGGTTTGTAGGGTTTTGAAGGTTTTAGGGTGTTTAGGGGTTTTAGGGTTGAGAGATGAAGGGCGAGGGTTCAGGGCTTCTCCGGAGCGGCAGATTTCGCGTCGTAGGCTGGTAAGATGAACGGCCTATTTGTTGAATTAGGATGAGTATCTGGGGCATGATAACTTACGGGGGTGTTTTGGTAGTTTATGCTATAATACGTATATCGGGCTTCGCAGGGACTTGCTTCGGCTCCTACATTGAACTCATGAAGCCTGAGACCAAACAATGGCAACTAAGGCCCACACAGAGCACATGGCTTGGGGCGTTCGCTTGGAGGCCTCTTGCATGGCCTCGTCCAAAGCAAGAGAGTTTGGTGCAGGGTTCAGGGTTCAGGGTTCAGGGTTCAGGGTTCAGGACTCAGGGTTCAGGGTTCAGGGTTTAGGGTTTAGGGTTTAGGGTTTAGGGTTTAGGGTTTAGGGTTTAGGGTTTAGGGTTTAGGGTTTAGGGTTTAGGGTTTAGGGCTCACGGCCTCAGGGATTAGGGTTTAGGTTTTGGGGGGCCCCTTTACACCCCTAGAATAGAGTAGAACCTTATTGTCAGGGCCCCCCATCCCTCTCGTCGAATTCTCGGAGGTCCCCATACAGGAATTGGGGTCCGGAGTCTCTAGCGTTTAGCGCGCATGGTTGGAGTGGCTGAAGGGGTAATACAAAGGGTTTGCCTAGGTCTTGGGCTTGAAATGAGTTGCTAAGGAGCTGTGGTGAAACTTTGGATATACAAACTCCTGATCTTGAGTGTATCTACGGTTCCCTATAACTATATAGGTTTGTTGCGTGTCCTTCTGGCGATACTAGTTATCATAGCTCGAACTCTAGCTCCATATGTAGGATGACTCCGCAGACTCTGAAGAGGAAATCGCGGCAGAGAGCCTCTGCTCTCAGCTGTACCAGCTTGAGGCCGTCTTCGAAACTCAGCACCTGGAGTAGGGGTCAACTTTGCCAGGATGACGAGGTCAGAGCTCCAAGCATCCTAGAACATCCCTCTACCCAATATGAAGGATGAGCTGTTGATTATCGGGGGGAAGTTGGGCCTTTGCAAGGGCTCACATTCCTAAAGCCTAAGGCCTCCGAACCCCAAATTGCACCGGAAACCTCTGTCAAGATTTGGGTGGGGACTTGCAGACATACAGATATGTATGTGTCTATGTAAGGGCTCACATGAAGGGGGTAGACCTTCTTAGGTTTAGGGTCAGGGGGAACTCCTTACCTGACAATGCCAGACAAGATCTCAACCCCAAGAGTAGCGCACCCCTGCAGCCGCGATGGCCGTGTACTCGCCCAGGGAGAGGCCAGCCTTGGGTTGGGGTTTAGGGTTTAGGGTTTCGGGTTTAGGGTTTAGGGTTTAGGGTTTAAGGTTTGGGGAAGCCCCACCCCTAAATCATGCGCCCCTGAACCGTAGACCCCAGACCCCTAAACTCAAGTCTTGGCCCCTACACTCGAGTCGTAGCCATCTACAAGACCTGAACCAGGCAAAACGCAAAGGATGTTGGGCGGAGAAGGCTTCAAAAGCTTCGGAGTTTGGGGTTCGAGGGCTTGGCGTTGAGGGGTTTAGGGTTTTTGGGCGTAGGACCTGAGAGTTTCGGTAAAGGCCTGAGCTAAGCCGTCCGAATGCCTCTTTCAACCTGCAAAGGCCGGGGCCATGCAGAATGGCCGGTCCACCACATCCGGCCTAGTCTCGCGGAGCACCTGCTGAACTGCTTCGTCCAAGTTCAGCGCGCTGGGGGTATGGGGTTAAGGGCTTAGGGTTCAGGACTCGGGTTTTGGGTGAAGGGGCACAGACGCGACTGCAGATGCTTGTGCACAGGCTGAGCCTCTCAAGAAAATCGCGGAGTTGACTTGGACTTGTTGGTTAGGGCTGACCTTGAGCCTTCAAAGGTGTGGGGAAGGCCTCCACGGCAGCTAATCCAGCCAAGAACATGATGGGCTGGCAGTACCTCAGGGGGGCCAGGTGTGGCTTGGTGCACACAGAAGGACTACTTCGTATCTTAAGCCCTGTTGAAGGAATCCCATGAGAACAAGGCGCAGATAACAGGCCTGGCTGCGATGATGGTTTTGGTTTAGAGCTCCTGTGAAGGCGTACATCGACAAAGCATGCGCGCACGCAAGGGCAGTCCAACCTGGCACAGGCCCAAACTCTGTGACAATGAAACTCCGGTTCGCGGGATTTGTGAAGAGCTTGCAGTAGGCCTTCGCATGATGGACTGCTGCATTTCTCGCCAAGAATTGTGGCTGCCTTGCCGCTGCCTTCAGGGCCATCGCGGTTTCGAGTTTGTCATGGTCAAAGGACTGGCACCGGCGACACGACAACATGTGCCACCGTGCAGCCTGCAATCACCTGTCACGACCAGCCGACATCAAACCGCCGAAGAAGATGCCGAGCCGTCCCAAACAATGTGGCGCTCTGCGACTGCAACACGTGAAGTACTGATCGTTTTGGGCCCTGTTAGAAACTGCATGCACTTTGTTTCTTGAAGGTCACAGAACCACCACGGTCGAGAACAAGGTATATCCAGCAGCATGACGAAACTAAAGCCGAAACCCTAAACCCTAAACCCTAAACCCTAAAACCTAAACCATAAACCCTAAACCCTAAACCCTAAACCCTAAACCCTAAACCCTAAACCCTGAACCCTAAACCCTAAACCCTAACCCTACGAAAGCGACTCGAAGGCTGAGCCGCCTGGAAAACTGGGGGTCGGCCAAAGATGCAAGACTGTACGACATCCCTTGAAAAGGCATTTGAAACACCTATGACTTCTCACAAGACCCTGAAGGCTAAGCACATCCTAGATCATGACGCATGAGACAGCCTGTTCAACACTACAGTAAACCCTAAAACCCGAACCCTAAACCCACAACCTAAGCCCGAAATCCTACACCCTAAATGGGGCACTGGGTTTCTTCCAGCTTCTCCGCAGGGCCATTGAGGCAAAGCTCACGTGGGTCCCATCCTCTGGACAAGCTCCAGTCGATAAATATTTGGGCTTCTGAAAATTTGTTGGGTGTCTTTTTGGGTACCCAGCTCCGTTAGTAAAAAAGGAAACCCCAAAGGGGGCCGCAATTCTGAGAAACCCCCGAGACCATAAACCCGGAACCCAATATGGCGCTGGGGAGGGGGCTATTAATTAAGGCTCAGGGTCTCTTGTTTGGGGCGGCTTCGGGTCAGTTTCGGCTGGGGTTTGGGGTTTAGTGCTGAGTGTCTAGGGCTTCGTGTTGGGGGTAGAAGGCACAAGGCCTGTGGCAAAGGTTTTCTGCACAACGCTGGCTACGTGGTTCCTGTCTTGACAATGTGCTCATCGGTGACACGGGACGTTTGCAGAGTGTGGGCGCCGCAAGACCTAGTCTACCCTACGCGCTACAACACCCTAGGGTTTAGGGTTTAGGGTTGAACTAGGGTTTAGGGATTCACACCCCCGAGCTCCTGGAAAACCCCTGCTGCAATCCTACACGATTCCGAGAACCGTGAATAGTATGCTCCGACAACCTCAAGAATTAAAACATGGAGTGAGAATCAAAAGTTTAAACAAATCTGAATTCATTGAACCCCATAACCCTGAAACCCTAAAACCTTCAAAGTCAACAAGCCCGAACACCCTGAACACCGAAATCCCTGAACTCCTTAGAGGCGAAATCCCGAAAGCCCAAAGCCAGATGGGCAGTTCTCATAAATTATGCTCTCTTTTAGGGTACCCTAAATATCAGGGGCCGCCGTCTCAGAAAAAAACAGTGACCCCAAAGGCACTATAATCCCTACTTTGGAGTAGACCCTGCAGAAAAACACACATACATATGTATGTATGTATATATATATACATACATATATATATATATACACATATATACTTTTTCGATAGAACTAGCTACACGAGGAACCCAGAAGGCACCAGAATCCCAACTTTGGAGTCGAACAATGTATACTAATGTATACTTTTCAGGTAGAGCTATACGAGGAGCCCAGAAACACCCCAGGAATTTAGTGAGCTGGCCACATCGACGAGCCCGGCCTAGGATGGTCTGCGCGCGGCTCAGCATACTCTTGACCTTGGGATGAACATCGAGGCCTTTAAGGGTGCAGGGTTTTTTTCTGTATTGGGGTGTAGGGTTTAGGGATTAGGAGTTCGGGTTTAGGATTTAGGGTTTAGGGTTTAAGATTTAGGGCTTCGGGTTTGGGGTTTAGGGTCTAGGGTTTCGGGTTTGCGGTTTATGGGGGGCTGTCGCCATTGGGATCCGCCCTACAACCTCACCCAAAAGGAGAGCCCAAATAAGACGCAGACGGCAGGGCGTTCCATAACGTCCTTCAACATGCCCACCTGATGCAGGTGGAGAGGATTTAGGGTTTGGGGAGGCTCTTAGGAAGGAATGTGGGGTTTAGGGTTTAGGGTCTAGGGCCAGGTTTAGGGTCTAGGGTCTAGGGTCTAGGGTCTAGGGTCTAGGGTCTAGGGTTTAGGGTTTAGGGTTTAGGGTTTAGGGCTTAGGGTTTAGGGCTTAGGGTTTAGGACTTTGGAATTCGGTTCGCCAAATCATCCTTGGAAGGGTTACAGGGCACCAACTTACCTCTGTAAAGAACTCGTAAGAAAAGCTTAGATCTTGGAAAGCGACTGTTCCTAGAACGCCTGAAAAGTCCTGCTTTATGGTTTTAGGGTTTAGGGCTTAGGGTTTAGGGGTGTTCTAGAATGATGTAAGTGATTGAAACGAGGGGGGGTGTAGAGATGAGGGGTTGAGGTTTCAACAGGCTTGGGCCATCGTTTTAGGATTCATGTGGTTAGGGTCTGGTGATTGGGTTGCTTGGCGGCAAATCCCCCACGGGCTCATGGAAAATCATCGCCAAACCCTGCAGATATGCACTCTTAAGCTGAAACCGTCAACCCGAAACCCTGAAACAATCCGCAACACCCTCTTAAAACCCGAATCTCAACGTTAAAGCCCTAAAGCCCGAAGCCCTAAACCCTAAACCCTAAACCCTAAACCCCAAAACCCTAAAGCCCCAAACCCTAAACCTTAAACCCTAAAGCCCCAAACCCTAAACCCTAAAACCCTAAACCCTAAACCCTTACTAAACCCCAAACCCTAAACCCTAAACCCTAAACTCTAAACCCTAAACCCTGGCCCTAAACCCTAAACCCTAAACCCTACAGCTCCCGAGGTGCCGGCATACTGCGAGCCCTGGCCAGGAAACAGGAGCGCGACCGGAAGAGGCGGCTCCTCCATGGAGAGCTTAGGGTTGAAGGGTTTAGGGTTTAGGGTTTAGGGTTTAGGGTTTAGGGTTTGGGGTTTAGGGTTTAGGGTTTAGGGCTAGGGTTTAGGGCTTGAGGGCTTTGGAGTTTTCGGTTTGTGGGCAATGCAGGGTTTACGGGACATTTATTGCTTTAGGGTTGTTGGGGTTTAGTGACGTCGGGTGCCTCGGTGCTCAGGATTTAGGGCATGTGTGCTTATTGGGCTTTGGATTTAATTATAGGGTTCGGTGTGCGGGCTTTCGGGCTTTGGGTTTGGGATTGACTGGCTCTGAAGTTGCAGCAATAGGAGGTAGGAATCGGGGTTGCGGGAGCTTAATGGCCGGGGTCATAGGGAAGGCCAATCCAGGGATGGGTTGGGAGGGCTCTAGGGTACTGCTATGGGATTAAGGCCCATCTTCAAAATCTAAACCCTCAACCCCAAACCCCAAACCCCAAACCCCAAACCCCAAACCCTAAACCCTAAACCCTAAACCCTAAACCCTAAACCCTAAACCCACAGACCCCCCAGCCTTCTTCACGGGCAGCTCGACCTTCGACCTGAATTGGGGCCAGCTGCGGTTTAGGGTTTAGGGTTTAGGGTTTAGGGTTTAGGGATTAGGGTTTAGGGTTTAGGGTTTAGGGTTTAGGGTTGGGGGTTTGGGGTTTCGGGATTCGGGATTCGGGATTCGGGTTTCAGGGTTAGGGTTGCCTTACGACATGACGAGACCCCTCTTAGGCCCCATACCCCGAAAGCCAGCAACCCCGATTCACCCGAAAACCCCACACAACCAGACCCACCGGTACTCTAAGTCCGCAACCCCTACACCCGAAACCTTCTAAATCCCTAAAAAGCCTACAGCACAACCACACCGAAACGGCAACCCTAAACCCTCAAGCGCTTAGTCGCTTCGGAGCCTTAAGCCTAAACCCTAAACCCTAAACCCTAAACCCTAAACCCTAAACCTTGAAACGCCCGGGAAGCCTGCAAGAACCACCGAGCTCGCGGCATGGGCAGGTCCAGCGGACGCTGCAGAATGTGCTCGGGCACTTCATACGGCTTCACCTTCCGGGTTTCCGGGTACCCTAAACCCTAAACCCTAAACCCTAAACCCTATACCCTAAACGCTAAACCCTCATTGAGGGTTTAGGGGATGGGTTTAGGGAATGGATTGCAGTTCTCAGGGTTGGGGGGGGGGGGACGGGGGTGGGGACTTTTGTGGCCTTGTAAGCTTTGGGGCTTAGGGTTGAGGCTTTCAGGGTCTTGGCTGCAAATGTTCAGGAATTGTGGGCTTGGGGTCCCCCTGTAGGTCAACAGTGTCCCCCGTAAACCCCCCGTAAACCCCCCGTAAACCCCCCGTAAACCCCCCGTAAACCCCCCGTAAACCCCCGTAAACCCCCGTAAACCCCCGTAAACCCCCGTAAACCCCCGTAAACCCCCGTAAACCCCCTAAACCCCCTAAACCCCCCTAAACCCCCTAAAACCCCCCTAAACCCCCTAAACCCCCCTAAACCCCCCCTAAACCCCCCTAAACCCCCCTAAACCCCCCCCCCCTAAACCCCCTAAACCCCCCCTAAACCCCCCTAAAAACCCCCCTAACCCCCTCAAACCCCCTAAACCCCCCTAACCCCCCTAACCCCCCTAAACCCTAAACTCCTAAACCCCTAAACCCCTAAGCCCCTAAACCCCCCAAACCCCCAAGACCCTAAACCCCTAAGCCCCCAAACCCCTAAACCCCCAAGCCCCTAAGCCCCAAAACCCCTGCACCCTGAACCAAACCCTAAACTCGAAACCCTGAACCCCTAAACCCTAAACCCTGAACCCCTAAACCTTGACACCCACCCAACGAAGAAAGCACTGGTGCTAGGCGCCCGGCGTACTCACCCAGCCCGAACTTGTACTTGCGTGCCTTCAGGAGGTCCTTGTCTAACCTGCTTTTGGGGTTCAGGGGCATTAGGAGTTTCGTGGGATGTTGGGCTGGGGGTTTAGGGCTCAGGGCGATTTAGGGTTTAGGGTTTAGGGTTTAGGGTTTAGGGTTTAGGGTTTAGGGTTTGGGGTTTGGGGTTTGGGGTTTAGGGTTTAGGGTTTAGGGTTTAGGGTTTAGGGTTTAGGGTTTAGGGTTCAGCAAACCCTGCTTTTCAACCCCGCCTCTCTGTCACAACTGGGTCATTCCCCATGGCCCGGTGCTTCACGAGGTGGTACCTGGCTGTTTGGGGGTTTAAGGCTTTGAAGGCTTTAGGGATGTCGGGTCAGGCTCGGGGCCCTAAATCCTAAACCCTAAACCCTGAACCCTGAACCCTAAACCCTAAACCACACTTAGGGCTTTGGCTTTGAGCTTGGGATGTCCCCTGTCAAGATGCTTCGGGTGTAGGGCTTCGGGGGAAGGATCTAAAAGGGGAGTCGATGGCCGTGGTTGAAGTTCAGGATCGGAGAGTGCAGAGAGATTGGGTTGTTTAGGGTCGCTGAGCAAGGACCCGAAATCCCGAATCCGACTTCCGATTGCCCTAAACCCTAAACCCTAAACCCTAAACCCTAAACCCTAAACCCTAAACCCTAAACCCTAAACCCTAAACCCTAAACCCTAAACCCTAAACCCTAAACCCTGCATAAGTGTGGGCTCTGGTTCTAGACCGGCGCTGAGGACCCGGGCTCCTGCGACTTCACCGAATTCTTCTCGCTCAGCTCACCCTTAAGGGCCTGTACTCCGAAAGTTTAGGGTTTAGGGTTTAGGGTTTAGGGTTTAGGGTTTAGGGTTTTAGGGTTTAGGGTTTAGGGTTTAGGGTTTAGGGTTTAGGGTTTAGGGTTTAGGGTTTAGGGTTTAGGGTTTAGGGTTTAGGGTTTAGGTTGTGGAAGGTTCGCCAAATCATCCTTGGAAGGGTAAAGGTTTAAGGTTTATGAGGTTTATGAGGTTTATGAGGTTTATGAGGTTTATGAGGTTTATGAGGTTTATGAGGTTTATGAGGTTTATGAAGTTTATGAGGTTTATGAGGTTTATGAGGTTTATGAGGTTTATGAGGTTTATGAGGTTTTAGGCCTTCGTACTCAGGGTTCTGCTTTTCGTTGGGATTTGAGTACGGTTTCGGTCAGGGTTGCGCTGACCCCCCCCCCCCCCCCCCCCCCCGCGCCCCAAACAGAAAAACAAAAGGAAAAAACGCGTTTAGGGTTTAGGGTTTCGGGTTTAGGGTTTGGGGTTTAGGGTTTAGGGTTTCGGGCTTTTCTGTATCTACAGCGGGCACACCTGGCGCAGGGTTTAGGGTCTGGCTACGTTACGCCGGCCGCCTGGAACAGCCACTCCTGCTCCTGCGCGTGGAGCTCCTTGACCTTCCTTAGCGCAAGCCGCGTCACGCACCCCCAGGTTTAGGGTTTAGGGTTTAGGGTTTGGGGTTTGGGGTTTGGGGTTTGGGGTTTGGGGTTTGGGGTTTGGGGTTTAAACCCCAAACCCCAAATCCTCAACCCTCAACCCTAACCCTCAACCCTCGACCCTAACCCGATTGGGGGTTCATAAGTGATGCAAAGAACGAAAGGGGCCCTCCCTAAACCCTAAGCCCTAAGCCCTAAACCCTCAACCCTCAACCCTAAACCCTCAGCCCTAAACCCTCAACCCTAAACCCTAAACCCTCAACCCCAAACCCTCAACCCTAAACCCTAAGCCCTAAACCCTAAGCCCTAAACCCTAAGCCCTAAACCCTACGTAAACCTAAAGGCAGCCTCAAGGGGGCTTCGTGGGGCTCTGCGGACCTCAGCGCTGCCTGCGCCGGAGGCCTCAGGTCCCGGCCAGATCTTCGTCTCCGGGGTGTCGCCCGCGTTGTTGCACGACATCGTGTCAGCGCCTCAACTCTGCGGCTCTCTGCGACTCCCCCTCCCTCCCAACCCTAAACCGCCCGACACCCTCGAAACTCCCCAAACCCCCGAAACCACCTAAGCCCCCCAAAACCCGAAGCCCCAAAAGCCCCCAAGGACCCCCTAGACCCGCTAGACCTCCTAAGCCCCTTAGGACCCCCTTAACCCCGAAACCCAACGAACCCACCACCAGCATCACCGCCACCGCCACCGCCAGCGCCACCGGCAACCCTTCCAAACTTAGACCCGTGCCAAGTTCCACGAGCTTTGCCAGGCACCAGGGGGTGCCGTACATCACCTGGGAGGTATGGTGGGAAGGTTTCAGGCTTTGGGGCTTTAAGGACTGAGAGTTGCGAACCCCGCTAAACCCTAAACCCTAAACCCTAAACCCTAAGAACCAGTGGCTCCCAATTGGGACCTTTGGGGATCTCTCGGGGCTCCTTGGGACGTATACAGGGACTGTAGGTCCATGGAGGGGCCGCATTGGGATAGCCCCCTAAAGTGCTAGACCCTTAAACCCTTAAACCCTTGGTTTAGGGTTTAGGGTTTAGCGTTTAGGGTTTAGGGTTTAGGGTTTTGAACCCTTAAGCCCTTGAACCCCGAAAGCCCAGAACGCCTCAAAAAGCCCCAAAGCCCTAGCCGCGCCCAAGTCGCAGCATAGTGGGCCGGAAGATCTCCCATGGAGGTGGGCCGGCTGAGGGCCTCCGGCGTGCTCCTCTCCAGCATGGTCACCTGCCATGTCCAGCCCCAGGTCGACATTCCCAGGTCTGTTGAAAACTCAGGGAAAGCTTAGGGCTTCAAGGAGTTTAAGGAGTTCAAGGGGTTTTAGGGTTTAGGGTTTAGGGTTTCGGGGGGGTTTTGGGGGGGTTTGGGGTTGAGGGGTCTTGAGGTTGACGACGCGCTAAGCCGAACAGACCTACAAAGCTACGCCTCAACCGAACTTCTCTTGACGCCGGCCCTAAACCCGAATCGTTCCACTTACCCCCTCAGCCTTAGCCCAACATGCGCCCGAGCTGAGTGAAATTTGCCGGTTTGCCGGTTAGCTTACTTGTTCTTCGTAGGGAGTGAGGGAACTAGGTGACTTCCAGAAAACCTCAAAAAGTTTTGATAGGGGGATGAAGCCTGCCTAATTCTCATTCCCTGCGAAGAACCAGTAGGTTAAGGTTCACAGGTACGTAGGCTAAAACTAGTCAAAACCAGACCCCATGCCTTGCACCGAACCGCACACTCTCAACCCTACATGCAACTACCCTAAACCCTAAACCCTAAACCCTAAACCCTAAACCCTAAACCCTAAACCCTAAACCCTAAACCCTAAACCCTAAACCCTAAACCTTGATGTAAGCTCTAAAACCCAAAATCGTCGAGGACCTGGGATCCCGTCGTTTAGGGTTTAGGGTTTAGGGTTTAGGGTTTAGGGTTTAGGGTTTAGGGTTTAGGGTTTAGGGTTTAGGGTTTAGGGTTTAGGGTTTAGGGTTTGGGGTTTGGGGTTTGGGGTTTAGGGTTAGGGTTTAGGGTTTAGGGTTTAGGGTTTAGGGTTTAGGGTTTAGGGCTTAGGGCTTAGGGCTTAGGGCACCCCAAACTCCAAACCCCGAACCCCAAACCCAAAACCCCGAAACCCCACACCCCAAACCCCAAACCCTACCGGGGCCCCGGCGTCCCCATACTTACAGGCAATGTGGGCATCCGACCAGCCGAGGGGGTTCACGAAGCCATCTCCCGCTGCGTACATGTAGTCCTTTTGGGGCTTAGGGTTTAGGATTTAGGGTTCAGGATTGGGGGTTTAGGCCTTAAGTGAGGCCATGAGAATTAAGCCCCCCCCCCCAAAGACAAATTTTAAGGCCTTGGTAAGACTGAGTCCACTGTTTGACGATACGTGGCCTGGCCAAAATGGCTTTGGAGAGCTTGGGTCAGCGGCCCCTGGGGCATTTAGGGTTTAGGGTTTAGGGTTTAGGGTTTAGGCTTTAGGCTTTAGGGTTCAGGGTTTAGGGTTCAGGGTTCAAGGAGTCTGCGTCTAGGTCGTTTGGACCCTCCAAACTCGCAACTCTAATCTAGGCCATCAACCCCAAACGCTACAGCAACATTGTAAACAACGACTCCAATCATGAATACCCTTAAGCCCTAAGACCCAAACCTCAACTAAACCCCAGAACCCCAAAACCCTGGAACCCTGGAACCTGGAACCCTGAAACACGAAAACCCTGCAACTCTAACTCTGCAACCCTAAAGCCCTAAAGCCCTAAAACCCCTAAGCCCTAAACCCTAAAGCCCCTAAAAACCCTAAAGCCCTAAAGCCCTAAAGCCCTAAAGCCCTAACACCCTGAAACCCTCAGTCCACAAACTCACAAGCAAACCCTAAACCCTAAACCCTAACCCCCAGGTGTCCCTTGGGCCGGTGATGATGCCGTTGAAGGGATGGGTGAGGGGATGCTTGGCCTGGGCGCACGCCGTGGAGGTTTGAGGCTTGTGGGGTGTAAGGTTTAGGGTTTAGGGTTTGGGGTTTGGGGTTTGGGGTTTAGGGTTTAGGGTTTAGGGTTTGGGGTTCAGGGTTTCGGGTTTAGGGTTTGGGGCGTTATGAGCCCTCGGGCTGAACATTCTCGGGGTTTCGGGATGTGGGGTGCAGGTTCGGGGTTTGCTTGTTTTTTGTGTGGTTTTTTTCGAGGGGGGGGGGGGGGGGGGGGGGGCAGGGGTTATGGGGCAGGGCAGCTAGGGGTTGAATAGTTCAAGGGCCTAGGAGGGTTTCAGGATTCTGTTTGTACTTCAGGGTTCACTCACCAGGTCATGAGGATACACGTAGATCCTCTTCAACAGATTTCAATCCGCATGAGGACAAAAGCCTCGAAATTCAGCACGCAAGGCACTTTCTCAAGCAAGCTTTGAATCATGTCAGATCTCCTTACTCCCTGTTGTGGTCTGTTCGGGGAGTGCGAACAGGTTCGGACATTAAGGTGTTGGGTTTGGGTAATTCGGTCGGGCTTCTTGTTGGCCTGGGGTTCCTATGGCTCTCAAGTAGGGGGGTGTAGTCCAGGGTTTAAGCCTCAGGGTTCAGGATCTGAAGGTTCTGCATGCAGGGCGAAGCCCGTCGAAACCTGAACTATCATATCATGACTACATCATTCAGCCCTTCGGATATGCCTAAATTCGAGCTCATCGACATCCTAGCAGGGCACAACGATGCGAAGGCCAGGATGACTTTGGCCCCAAAGTATAAGACTTAGGCATTGGGCACTTAAGCACCCCAGAACCTGCAATGAAAGCCCACAAAAGCCTCAACACAACCTTAGGGAGCTCCCTCGGTTTCTGAACCCCAAACCCTAAACCCCTAGTTCAGCGTCGCCCAAAAACCTCTCAAAAACAAAAAAACCTGCAAACCGAGCCCCCAGAAGCCCTGAGGCCCGAGGGGGCCGCGAAGGTAAGCGATGCCCAAAGTTAAAGAGAGCTGTGGAACAGGGTTTAGGGTTTAGGGTTTAGGGTTTAGGGTTTAGGGTTTAGGGTTTAGGGTTTAGGATTGAGGTTTGAGGGTCTCTTCTGCAAGGCGGCCCAAACGGGTAGCCGGTACGAGGAGAACTTCCGGTGACCCGGCCTGCAGAGAAGGAACCACGGCAGACTGTCTTCAGGGATTCGGGTGTAACCCCCCTAAACTTTAAACCCCAAAAGCCGAAACCCCTATACGCCCTACCCCCTATGCCCTACATAAATACTAGTTTTGTAAGTACTAGTTTTGTAAGGTTGGTGGTTAAGATTCAAATAGGGGGGGTTGGCAGCGTTTACGTTTCCAGAGCACTGAGGGCCGCAGGCACGCTTCCCCAGCTTGGGAGTTTTTTGGGGGCTTATGGGCCCGGGGATTTATCCTGAACCCTAAACCCGAAAGCCTAAAAGCCTGATCGGATTTTTGTTGGGGTTGTAGGGTTTTCAGGGTTTACAGGGCTCGCAGTGCTTGCAATTACATTTTGGTTTCCCAACTACTCCTCTTAACCCTAAGCCTCAGGGCTACGACATCTCCTTTGGTATTCGCCCGAGCCCTCTACACCCGTTAAACCCTATACGCATGAAACCTTCAACCCAGTAAACCCTAAACCTTTGAACCCTAAACCCTAAACGCTAAATCAAGCCCCCCTAACTCCATTAGCGAAAGAGGGCTCAGAGTCCCTTGTTGGGGAGGGTGTAGAGGGCGTCGCGAGTTTGGGATTTCGGGCCGTTTGGGAGGGGCGTAGGCTTTGGGCATAATCCCTAAACCCTAAACCCTAAACCCTAAACCCTAAACCCTAAACCCTAAACCCTAAACCCTAAACCCTAAACCCTAAACCCTAAACCCTAAACCCGAAACCCTAAACCCGAACCCTAAACCCGGTTTAGGGCTTAGGGTTTAGGGCTAGAGTTTCGGGTTTAGGGTGCCGGGATCCACCTGTTCTCTGCCATGCCATCTTCCGCGACATCGTAGTCTGCAGACCTGGAGCGTCGAGTTGCTGTGCGAGGCCTCTCACTCTCCGAAGAGTGAGGGGCTGCACTCAAGAAGGGGGTACTTCAGGTCTCGGGTTCAGGTCCATCGGGTACCTGGGTCTGGGGTTTCGGGAATTAACATTTGCAGTCGTGTTTCGGGTTTAGGGTTGAAGGGGTGTGCAGAGCCCTAAACCCTTATCCCTTAACCCTAAAGCCAGCTTAAAGCCTAAAGCCTAAAGCCCAAAGCCCAAAGCCCAAAGCCTAAAGCCTAAACCCTAAACCCTAAACCCTAAACGTGGGGAGCCCACCAGGTTTCGCCATCTTCGAGGTACGGCATGGCTCAAGAAAGAGATGCCCAGCGCAGCCTCCACGCAGGGTTCGGGTTGCCGGTTGGGGGCCTTAGGTTCCCAAGCCCTAAACCCTAAACCCTAAACTCTAAACCCTAAACCCTAAACCCTAAACCCGAATGCTCCAGATTCGAGGCTTCTGGCTGGAAAACCCAAAATCACAGAATATCTTCTCAAATATGTTCTAGGCTTAGAGGTTTGTTTTCGGGGCGTTTGTTGCTTTGGGGGAGGCTTTCGGTAATCCCAAGACCTCAATCTTCGGAGCATTGGGATTTTGGGAGGCGAGGTTCAGAATGAGGGTGCTACTAAGAGCTTCGGGGGTTTAGAGCGGTCTAGCAGCACCCTTCACGCAAGCCTAGGCGCTTTCATGCCCCGCCTCCAGGGTTTGCCCTAAACCCTGTGCATTGTTGTTCCATCATCAGCTCGGTTGCCCCAAAAATTCGGGCCCAAGCCTCTATAGTGCTTCTTGATGAAAAGCGCTTTCTGCGAAGAGGCGCCTACTTGCCGAGGGTCACACTATCTCATATGTCTGGTTTAGGCTCAAACTCCTAAATACTTCAGGACCCCATAGGGTTCGTGAGCCTACAGCCCAACGCACATAGACCCCCAGACATGGAACTGCCGGCAAGGCACGCTTCGCTGGGCCGTAGGCTGCGAGACAAGGAGGAGCTGGGCGAAGCGAAGCTACGCGAAGCTACATCCCCTTTTCCCCTTGCCCTTTGATCCGCTCTGCAGCAGGCAACCATGCAACGCAATGTGACAAGCCAGTGTTTCATGTGGCGTTTGCACGAGCCAGCTAGTCCTGAACACACACACACACAGACACACATCCACCCGTGGTGCTGTGCACAGTTTGGAGTGGGGCATTTGGGGGGCCTTGCCGCACAGCGGCAGAAGATCCTGTCGCCACTGCTACTCCAGAGTGCGGTGGGTGGCGGCATGCGGCAGAAGGCTTATTCAGGCTCCCGCTTGATGCAGAATCTCCACAACATACATCATCACACATCACAGCACAGGCTCGTATTTTTTTTGCATATTTTCTGAAAATCTATGGCGTCTGTGTCGGCCTGCGCGAACCATGGAGCGTCGATGCCAGAACTGTTCACAAGTCTGGCAGCAAAATCAGACGGGCCCATCACAGCCGGAAAGCTGGCAAAGTGGGACTCTTGTGAGACATATTCAACTACACTGTACAGATTGACAAGCATTCACTGCACGTGACTCACGCCGCTGAGAGAGACAAGCACCACGGTTGCACGAGTTAGTCGGGCCTTTGCATCTTGCACTTCGAGGATGGAGCTACTCTGAGCATCTCACTCCGCGCCTCTCCAAAGGTAGCACGCTGTCCAGGATGCCGCGCCAAAAAAACTGATCGAGGACAAGGGGTTAGGTAGGTCCTATTAATTCTGCATTCTGTGACTTAGCAGATGGGACAACCAGTGGTACTGTACTCTGTTGGTGCCATGTCTACTACAAGTGGCAGCCAATGTCTTCCCTGACCCTTGTCCCACATCGCCTGACCGCTTGACCTACGTCCGGGGGTGGAGGGCCGGATGTGGGCTTTAGAAACCTTCTCAAACACCTGCTCAGCCTCCCTATCTACAGACCCACTTTGCCCGAATCAGCTCACACACTGTCTGCTTCTTGCGTTCAGGGTACAGTATGACTTGTATGATTCGCATGATCGTTGTAGTTCTTATGACTTGATGACGCTGAAGAGTTGTGGATATTGGTGTTGTCATTCTTATTGGGTTTGGCATGGTTGTTCTCAATAAATCACGCTACTTGCTGCACATGACATAGTACTATTACCCTAAACTCCAGAAAGCTGGAACCTGGGTTTAGGATGATTTTAGTGCCGGGTCTCCCTATATTATTATACTTTACCTTAAGGGTACTAGGATACTGATGTTCCAACTTTCTGGAGCTTTCTACTATCACACTAACCCTAAACCCTAAACCCTAGACCCTAGACCCTAAACCCTAAACCCTAAACCCTAAACCCCAAACCCTCACCACAATCTCATCAGGCAGGGCCTCGATCTTCTTGTCGAAGATGTGCTCCTCCGCCCGCTGGGTCAGGCAGACGATTTGGATCACCATCTGCCAGACGGAATGCAGCTTGTTTGGGGTTTAGGGTTTAGGCTTTAGGGTTTAGGGTTTAGGGTTTAGGGTTTAGGGTTTAGGGTTTCGGGAGCTGCAGCAGCAAGACGCAGCGAGCCTGCTGCTGCTGCCAGGGCGAGGCTTGATAGATTTGCTGGAATTGCAGCAGGGACTGAAGCTGTGCCAACGTCTGCAGCTGCGGTGGCGCGTTCGCAGCTGCATGGGCTGCTTGCGGCTGATGGATCTGCTGCAGGGGTGCTGCATGCAGGCCTTGTGCTGCTTGCAGACCTTAGGAATGGAAACTCGCCATGCTTCACTTTCCAGCACCGCAAAGCCTATTCATGTCAAGGCAGCTTGGAAGCCGGCCTAGCATAGGTCCAGGGACCTGCCAATCATGCCAAAAGCGATCCTTGCAAGCAAGAAGGGCACAGGCACAGCCTGGGGCACTTCATCCTTGGCGTCGAGGAAACTCCTCGGATGTTGGCTCAGATGTTTCCCTAAACCCTAAAGCAAGCCAAAGCAGCACGGTGCTCCGGCTGAGAGCAGGGCAACACGCTTTCAATCTGGGACCAAGATCTGACATCCTGCATAACGCAAACCCAAGGAGCTCAATACCCCTTAATTAAGGAGGCATCCCATAAACTGTATGGGGTATGGGATTTTGTTAGGGTTCACGGTTCAGGGTTGCTATTTCCTTGGCAAGCCCTGCACCCAACACCCTTTCCGTCTGCGTGTGGTTGTGTGTTTAGGGTTTAGGCCCTCAATAGGGATTGTAGTACCCCCTATTCTGATCCCTATTCAGGACTGTTAGTATACGGGGAAACATCGCAACTTTAGGGTGTTGAGCTTCACGCTCAGAAAGTTTCAGAAAAGGGACCAGAACGTCGGGGGGGGTCACCTACAGTAAACCCCAAACTGCATTCCCAGCAACCTTGGCATCGCTTTCATCATCGACGATCACCTGCAAGCTACGTCGTGTGGGTTCTTGGTTTCGAGTTCTGATTACAACGTGGGCCGCTACATTTAGGTCACCCCAAAAGGGAGCACGATCAGAGCAACCAGCTTCCAATACCCGCCCACCCGACCATGCATTCTGTTCGGAGGAAGCTTAGGAGCACTCGCTAAGGTTTAGGATTTGGGGTTTAGGGTCTAGGTTCCAGGGTTTAGGGTCTAGGGAGTAGGGTGTAGGGTTTAGGTTTTAGGCTTAAAGGCAGGGGTTTGAACAGGGGGGTGCCCCGGCGCACGCCCTTGTGCCCTTTCTGCTCCCTTTTTGGGTACCCCAGCTATTAGGGGCCGCGTTATAATCGCGACCCCATAACTTAGAAAAGTTACCACTGGCTTCAAGAGGCACCGCAAAAATCTGGCCTTGAGAGGGTTCCAGCAGTAGATGCCCCGACAGATCAAGAGCGCCATGACCTGTCCAGGGAGGCGTTGGTTTTATATGGTCTTTTAAAATTTATGTTTTGTATATATCTTTATGTATGTATGTATAGACAGATAGATAGATAGAGAGATATGTTTTCTGAAGATATCTTTGTAGTATTATTTAAGCATAGTATGATATGTTGATATTGACATTTTGTTATATTGTTATATGGCAATATTGTTGGACTGATAGACTGCTACGTTGTTTTACTGGTATATTAAATCTTGAAAAGTATGAAAGCTTTTGCAAAGCATTCAGAGCTCCGCAGCCTTCTTGGCATCCACTTTCCTCTCGCATGCCAACCTGGTTGACTGTCGGCTTAGGGTTGAGCCTTTAGGGTTTGGGGGTTTAGGGTTTAGGGTTTGGGGGTTTGGGGGTTTGGGGGTTTAGGTTTTAGGGTATAGGGTATAGGGTTTAGGGTTTAGGGTTTAGGGTTTAGCTTAAGGAAGCTTAGGGCGCACGTGAAAACTGCAAGAGCGCCTTGCCAACTCCTTCGCTCGCTCCGTGGCAGAACCCGCCTAGGCCGACAGACGCAGAGGCATGCGTGGCTTAGGAGTTTCGTGGAATGTTGGGAGGGGGGTTTAAGAGCTCAGGGCGATTTAGGGTTCAGGGTTTAGGGTTTAGGGTTTAGGGTTTTGGGTTTAGGGTTTTGGGTTTAGGGTTTAGGGTTTAGGGTTTCCAGTTTCCAGGGTTCAGGATCTACGTTCTCGTTCCCCGAAGCCCCAAAACCCTCAACCTTGTCGTGCCCGAAAGCCAGGCAGGACTGTGAAAAGCCAACCTATCTTAGGATCAAAGCCAACGTTCGTAGAGAGATCTGGTTAACGATCAACAAGATGATGGAGCCACGTGGAGGAAACATGATGCTCGTGGGGCTGGTCAACCCCTACACCTCCCTCTTTGAAAGGTTGATTAGACCTGGTATGTTGAATATTGATGCCCTAAACCCTAAACCCCAAACCCTAACCCTGAAGCCTGAATCCTGAAGCCTGTACCCAAAATCCTCAACCCAACATCTCCCACTTCGGGCTGCCCAGCCAACTTCTTTGAGGGGGTTTAGGGCTGCTAAGCCATCATCTCTCGTTGGGCTTCCTGGCTTGGCTTGAATTCCAGGGGAATTAACTGTCCTTCTGTATCGCCTTCCTTCTTTCCTTCCTTCCTTCCTTCCTCCCTGGCTCCTCGCCCGTTCTTTCTTGAGGCCTTTCTGCTGTTCTACCTCCTTCCTTCGAATAGCTGTTGCTGATCCTTAAACAGATCTTGCTTGAGCCTTCAACAAGTTTGCGTGATCCCTATCCTCAAAGATCAACCCCACGTACCTAGACCCTGAACCCCAAACCCATTGCAACGTGAACAGAGTGAAGGACACGCGCCTTTGGGCGCTCTGGTTGGCTTTGCGCCGTGCCCTCGTCGGAAGCTTCCCCTGCTCGTTGGGCGAAAACTATGAAGACTTGAGGGCTTTTGGGT